GGATTTGTGTTAAAAGCTGATTACCACAAATACACACCGCCACGGCGTCATATACTGTAAAAAACGGGTTATATAGGGATTATATTGGGGTTAAATAGGGATAATGGAAAAGAACATGAAAACTACCATAGTATATTGGGATTATATAGGGATACTTCAAAAGAAAATGGAAACTATAATAGTATGTTGGTGTTATTTTGGGATAATGAGACACAAAATGGAAACTACTATAATAGTATATTGGAGCTATATAGGGATAATGGAAAAGAACGTTCCACGACTGCGCTCCCGTAGGTTGACACCGACGCGGGTGGCCCGACGCGTCGCCAACCGTTGGAAGGCAACCTGAGGACGGCCCGACGCCAAGCTATTATCATGACGACTACAGCTATGATTACTGCTATTACCATTACTACGATTGCTGTTGCTACTATTACTATTACGTACTACTACTATTACTATTTCTATTACTATTGAGCACAACACCGAAAGGCCTCACCATCATCAGCGCCTGCATCCTTCACACGACACTTGAAAGAAGGCCCAGCATATGCGGCTGTGAAGGGCACCGTCGGGAGGCTCCAAGGCCCCTTATTATAGGGATAAGTATCATTATTATAGGGGCATATACGGAGACTATATTATAGTAAGATATAGTAAGTGCCATTATTATAGGGGCATATATGGAGACTATATTAAGATATAGTAAGTGCCGTTTTTATAGGGGCATATATGGAGACTATATTATAGTAAGTATTATTTTAGGGGCATATATGGGGATCTGTCCTGCAGCCGAGCTCCCCCAAGGGTGGCACGCCGCTGAGTCACGCGGCGCTGAGCCACTTCCTCAGAGCCCGTGATCCACAACATACTCCAACGCAAATGGGTGGTTGATGGGTGGTTGTCAAAATTCTGGTCCGTTTTTTGATTCCTATTAATAATTTTGACAACCACCCAAATGCAACTGATATGCAAATTGCCTCTTCATCCGGAACGTCTGCAGCCAGGTCCTGCAGCTTGACCCCGCCAAGCGTGGCTCGGCGTTGTGTGCCACGGCGGCTGGGATCCTGCGCAGCCTCCTCACCACAGCAGCCACAGGGGGGGGAGGGGGAAAGAGCAGCTATCAGAAACCAGCCTTCATTGAGAGTTGCTTGAGAACTTCGGTGTCTCCGGTGCTGATGGCAAAACTTTTCCGTTGCTCGCGCATCTCTTTGCCCAGCCTCAGCCAGAGCGAGTCACAGGCCTAACACAGCCTCACAATGCCTAACCAGGAACCAACAACTTACTGGGGGCTAGTAAAGTAAATTATGTCGGGATTCTACAGGGATCATATTCCCATATTCCCTACTAAGAACCAGTAAGACAAGCAGTTGTGAAAGGCGATGCTGTTCATAAGCAGGCAGCTGCTTGTAGACAAACTGGTGGACCTTGGATGCGAAGGCTGTCATCTCCTCGATATTTAGGCCTGTCTCCTGATCCTCCAGGCTGGCATCTGATTCTTTGCTGTCCATCTTCACCTTACGGGTGCTTGAGGGGTTATCTAGGGGTTATATTGGGGTTATGTAGGGGTTGAGAGTTGGGGAGTGGATCCCTATAATTCTCCCTATGTGATTCCCATATATACCCTTTATCATGATACCTATATTCACTCCCTCACTCCCCCTTCAGCACCAGTAGGTCACCTGTGAGTAGAGGCTGTGGAACGCGGGTTTCGGAATTTTCGGAGGCGGCTGCTTATGCAACCAGAAGAACTCCTCCAGAAACTTGATCGCCTCACCGGACTCCCACTCAATGCGCCCTGTTCCATCTTTGTCATGCTTGAGGAAGAGCTTTCTAGTGACCATTGCCTGAGTCCAGGGCCATGCTGCAGTAGTGCAACATGATGCAACATGAAGCTGGACGGAAAGTGCCCTTACTGGTTCTTAATAGAGAGTAAGGGAGCAGTATGGGAATTCTGTTCATTCCCATACTGTTCCCATAATCCCTACTCAGAATTGTAAGCTGCTGGGCCCATGGCTACGTGCTCTGGATCCCAAAGGTCTTCTTCATCATAGGTTTCCAAAGTGCCACGGCTTCTCCTCTCAGGCATGGAAGGCAGTCCAATTTGGGAATTCCGAAAATCAGGGATACCTTTTTTTTGGGAGGGGTGTCCCTCTTATATAAGCACTATATAGTATTTGGGGGTCTATATTGCTGTTTTGGGAAACTGCCATACCCCTAATATAATCCCAGGGTCCATTTCATTTTCCATGTTCTTTTCCATTTGGTTGTCCATTTGATTTTCCATTATTGGGATAAACCCCCTATTACAATATCCTAAAAATTCCTGATTACCCCAATGTACTATAGCAGTTTCCATATATTCGTATATAACCCTTAAACCCTACACCCGAATATGATATACCCCAATGTACTAGACCCAAAACCCACGACCCTAAACCATCAGTGGAGTCCTGTGGCAAGGCTGCGAAGTCTCGTTGTACGTGTCATAGTACTCTGACACAGCAGAGTATTGCCTGGGGTAAGGTTTAGGGTTCAGGGTTTAGGGTTCGGGATGGTTTAGGGTTTAGGGTTCAGGATGGTTTAGCGTTTAGGGCTTAGGATGGTTTAGGGTTTTGGGTTTAGGATGGTTTAGGGTTTAGGGTTTAGGCCATGGGCAAAGTCTTTTGCTGCATTGGCTGCTCCAGCTTGGGGGCCCTGAAAGATAGGACGACTTTGCAGCGCCCTTCACGACCTACAGAAAACCCTAATATGTTCCCTGTTATATTGTAGTAGTTTCCATTTTCTTTTCCATTATCCCATATATCCCTAATATATACCCTATTATAACCCTAATACAGGCTTTACCAGCAGCTTTGCTGTGTTTTCTGACAAAAGAAAACTTTCAGTTGCAATCAAACCTGAAATCGGCATGCATAGCGCTATCTGGTATTCTGAAGTTCCCGTGATGATCGCCTAGAAAACTGAAGCCTGGCTACGACATGGTGGACATTCTCGAAGCGACCAAATCGCCGTCCTCACTGCCGGACCGTTCCTCTTCAGACTCCAGGACGTAGGACACGGCTGACCCCATCCTCTGAAAGTCTACTGACTTGATCCGGCTCTTTGCTCGCCTTACGCCCGGCTTTTCTTCGTCCACATCCTCTTCTTCAGTCTTGTGAGAAACAACACTACCAGGTAGGGACTGGTGTTCTTCTTCTCCAAAGAGGACCGTCTTTCGAGCCGGACCTTTTCTATCTGTTCTGCCACTGAGAGACTGCTGGCCTTCAGTCTGCACGGCAGCATGGTCAACCTCCCGTCGAGGCCTGTGTATCAATTTCACGCGAAGAGCCTGCACTTCATCTTCAAGATGAGCGGAAGAAGCTTCTGCGTGTCTCAACTGAACCTGCAGCTTTTCTGATGCGGCCTGTGTTTCTGCTGCTGCAGCCTCGACGTGCCTCAGCCGCACCTGGAAACCCTCCCCTGCAGTGGTTGTTTGCGATGCATCCAGCACAACTTCGCGCAGCTTGGCTCTCAAAGCCTCGGGTAGCTCGGAATCAGAATGTCCAGCCTCGACGTGTCGAAGGTGAGCCCAAAGTTCTGCCTCTTCGTTTTCCTTGTCGGCAGCAGCCACTTGGATGCTCCTCAGTCTCACGCCGAAGTTTTGCGCAGAGGCTTCCTGATCTGCAGAGGACTCCCCAACCCTCCGCAGGTGTTCGCGAAGGTTGCTGCTGAGCTTCTCCAGCTGCTGAGTCGAGGCTTCCACATGGTTTAGTGTCACATGTTCAAGGCCTCCAGCCAGCTCAGGCGGCTCGGAGCCCTCAACTGGATTCTGCCGAAGCATGCAGCTGTCCTGCAAGCTCTCCTTTGCAGACTCCGAGTTTGCCAGCTTTAGGCGGAGATCCTCCGAGGCAGCTTCCGAGTCCAGGAGCGTCTTCTGTAGGCGGGCAAGCTTCGCTTTTGTTTGCTCCGCTTCCTCCGCAGATTCTCCCATGGACACCTGGCAAAAAAATGTACCTAGGCACCCTGCATGAAACTCTTTTGGCAGGCCTCTAGCTGCTTCACCTTGTCCCGGAGGACGGAGGCTTCCGCGGCTGCCTCACTTGCAACGTAGTTGAGTTGCAACATGGGACAGTCAATTCATCAAGGTATTGCAGCCTCCTCTGCCACTTTCTTGGAAGCATCTTGCGATTGCGCCTGGCAGGGTGGACGAACCTCGTTTGATCTTACTCTTGGCGCCTAGAAGCATGGTGTGTGCGCGTGTGCTTCAACGAAGGGCGTCCTACACGAAAAGCCTTATCCTGGAATGGCATCTCCCACATGCCAGACATCACGCGAATGGCGTGTGCTCCATCGTGCTACTGTACTGTAACCCCTGCACTCCCGCATGAGCATCCCATGCACATGCATCGTAGCTGCCGTTGGGTAATCAACAGCACAAAAGCACAGGCTGCTGCACCGCTGCACCATGCTGCACCGACGAGCCCGCTGACCATGCACGAAGGAACTCTGAAAGCCTGGCCTCAGCATCCTTCAGCTTCTGCCGAAGTTCTTGCACACCGTCACGGATGGCGGAGGCAGTGGAATCCTGCACAAGGCATTTGCGGAAGAGCTGTGTCTCATGGGTCTCAAGGAGGGGCCTCTGGAACCTTTGCCCTGAATGCTGACTCGAGCCCTCTGGAACATTGATCCAGATGGTCTGAAACGCGCACGAACATGGCAAGAGCACATCCATGTTCGTGGTCTGGAACGGGCTCGGGAATATTACCGAATTCATGATTGGCGCGCCAAATTGTTCAGGCACATGCTCCATGGGGTCTGAAGATGTTCGGAACAGCAGACAACACATAAAGTTCAGCTTCCATGTAAACAGTTGGTTCTTTCCGTGTCTGCAGGCCTCCAGCTGCTTCACCTTGTCCCGGAGGACGGAGGCTTCCGTGGCTGCTGCCGCCTGCTTACCAGGCACGCCCCTGACTTGCGACATAGTTGACTTGCGACATGGGACAGTCAATTCATCAAGGTATTGAAGCCTCCTCTGCAACTTTCTTGGAAGCATCTTGCGATT